TCCAAATTATTTTTAAATTAAATTAAAGTAAGCTAAACCTAAATGAAAACATTTTCTAACAGCACTGAAACTCCAGAATGTTTAATATAAATAAACTTCAATTCAATATATAGCTTTAATTCACAAATGGGATTAAGGAACAAATTGCAATGAAAGTGGTCTGAAAAGTTTTGTCCCAAATTTCACAGCAAAATAATTGTTGAAAAGACACACCCCACCCAGCTGCTCAGAGGGAATGAGGCTGGGCTCCCACATCATGCTAAGCCATCATCACAGTGTCTGACATTATACAAAGTACTACATTAAAACCAAAGGAAACAAACTATAGTCTGACTTAACACAGCCAGTATGTCCTGGCAAGAGAGGACAAGGGTGACAAGGTGACATGGTGTCTCCATACAAATGATATGAATTACATATTGTGTGCCATGATGTGATTTACCTAATCCGTGTCACTTATATAATGCAATTTACCCAATTCATGTTACTTATACAATGACTTCATGATACATGCAGCATTGTGGCTGCTATTGTGGATGACTAAGATAATGAGTACAGTCAACGTTTCTTTGTACAGGGGCAGTTCCTCAATTGTTAGGTGGCTGTTAGGCTGAAGAGAAGCAAGGAATCTAGGATATTTGGGGAGGGGAGAATTGTTTTGGGGGATGTACATTTTTAAGCATTTATTTCAATAAACTTCAATAGAAACAGTAAGCTAAGAAAGTGGAACGAGATTTGGAAATGTATATCCCAGTTCCCAGTTCTCAGATAATAAGGAAAGAGAGGGACATACCTGGGAAACTGAATAGAGACAATTTGGTACCACACTGATCTATAGAACAACCATTGCTGGTTGGGAAGCTCTGGAAGATGAAGTCCATCTACCTTACGGTTGTCAAGGTTGAGAAACACTAATGTGGACTCTTTCTTGCAGTTCAAATGATGATGGCTGGGGGGGGGGGATTGGTCTCAGAATCATTGGTTTATTGAATCACCCTCTCTCTATCCCAGGAGAGGAGAAAGAGAACAGATTTCTAATCCTCTGAGCCTGGATCCTAACATGGATGCTACATACAGGACAAAGGATCATTCTATATGAACCCCAGAACTAAATACAAAGCCTGTTGTCTTGTAGTGTTTTCCAATATCTGGGATTGGGATCAACAGCATCTTCACCCACCTCTTCTAAATGATCATGGAATAAGAAAATACTTCTCCAGCTTCTCAATTCAAAGTGAGACCTTCTTAGACAGGTGATTGCATTGACTTGAAATAGAGGCAATACAGCTAGGAAATAGATCAGCAATAAGGATAGCAAATATCTTGCTGGTAGAGTATTGTTTTATTCAGGTTTATGAGAAGGACTGCAACACAGCAGTAAAGTATGGCCTAAGATGTCACAGAACCAAAACATTTTGGCTGAGATAAAAGTCAGCATAAGGAGGACAGGGCAAATAGCAAATTTTGTTCTGTCACTTATTCCCTTATATTATTTTTTGATGGAAGCCTATTTGTAATTCTGTAAACACTTTTCAATAATAACAATATTTACAATGTTATAGACAGAATGTTTATTTCTGTTCATCTGGAGACAGCTGATCATTAGAATCTTGCTGCTTTAATACATTTTACAACCATTTTATCATCTCTGTATCTTTATTGACATAAACTGTATGATGCACAGTATAATGCAGCACTTTGAATGCTAAATTTGAACTCAGATCATAGCTCCTTATAGGAGAAAAAGTGTGTGTGAGGAGGGTAGATTTATGTCTCAGCTTGTCATACAAGGTAGATTTAAACAAACCTGGGATTAAGTTTAAACACTGAGCCAATCTATAAAGTGGTTTGGATTGTTCTCGTTTAGTTTGCTGGGTGATCCCAACTAATTGTGGCTTATGAAATCAAAGCTAAGCAGATCATAGGTTAGCACAATGTACAAAAACAGCCAGTGTTTCATGGGAGCCACATGGTTATGGAATATATTACATTTTTGACACTTTAGATGTACTGTTTTTAATAACAGTTAAATTACTCTGCCGTCTGCATTTGGTTTATTTGTCAGCCAAAGGAAAATATGCCTGTTATCTTGAGGAATCTTTTGGAATGAACAAAGATTTATTACTTAGTTTATTTTAAAAAACTGTTCTGAGTTCATGGACTTCCTGTTTAAGTTATTTACAAGCTATTAGGCTTCCTGTTAACTACTCCACTTGTGAAATAAGATACATTGTTTTTAGTATGAGCGCCTCCATAAGTCAATTGAAAAATAGAAGGAAACACACATTTGCATAACATTTTGTTCTAATCATTTGTCTAGGGATTTTTCCCTATTGTATATCTGCTCTTTTGATTTTTTTTTCCCCAAATAGGATTGCCATTTTTTAAAGCCATATTTCACTCAAGCTTGATTCTGCTAATTTAATGGGCATGTCCATGTAATTTTCTTGGCAACAGAATGGAATTGCTTTCTATTTATTTGTTTTATTTCCCAGTCTAGCCTCCAGCCCTAATAATATTCCCTGGTGTTCTGCCATCCAAATGCTAACCAGACCTGACCTGGCTGAGTTTTCTGTGACCTCCTAAAGAGCTATACAAATCCATAAAAAGTTAGGATGTGACTTGTAGTGATGATTAAACAAGAGTCACAGTTTAGTAAAGTACTGTGTAGCAGCCTGCACCTGTTTAGTTCTTGCTTCCATATTGCATTACAGGTAGACCTTTCTTGACTGTTACAGCTGATTACTGACTTATTTAATAGGAGATTTTATCAACAAGTCCTTGCTCTAAAAGTATATTCTGAAAAGCTCAGTCCAAATTATACTGGAATGCAGGTACTCCTTAGTTAATAGTTACTGGGACTGGAATTTCCAATGCTAAGTGATGTAGTTGTAAGGTGCAGTGTCATGTGACTGCATCACTTAGCGAGAGCAATCCCAGCAGTTCCAGTTGCCATTTCTAACCAAACCTTTGGATGAGGATCCACCCCAATTCATGCCATTCCCAGCTTGGTTCCTCCCAACCTAGAGCCTTGGGAAGGTAAGGGACTCTTCCCTCCCACCTGTTTTCCCCATTTCTGTCATTTTGGCCAGCCTGCACTCCTCTGGCCCCATTCAGCCTGCCACCCTGTGCTCCATCCAGACATCTCATAAGGATTCCCCGTGCAAAGGCGGCATGTGATTTGAACAAGATCGTGCACATTTTTGGGAAGAAGGCCTGGTGAACCAGGCAGCTGCTTTGTGAAGGGCCAGGATGAGCACGCTTCGTCAGCATCAGGAGGAAAAAGATCATCTGGGGGCAGTAGGGTGATGGAGTGCAAGACATCCATAAGGGCAGAGATTGGGATGGGGAGATAGCTAGGTGGTGGGAGTTGAAGCACCCTTGCGGTCATAGATGGGGGCTGGCTATCAAGCACTGACATTTTGATCAGGTGATGGGGAGGCTTGCAATGGCCATTATTTTGAAGACTGGCCATAACTATCATTTGTTCAGCCCCACTATAACTTTGAATGATTGTTGAATGAATGGTCATTAATTGAGAACTACTTAGTTTTCATAAGAATAGTAATACAAAGTAAAACAGAAATGTGAAAGATGACGCACAGTCTCAGAAATTCTGAATGAACACCAAGTGGTGATAAACTTTTAAGAGTTTAATTAAGAGAGTGTAAAGCATTTTTCCTTCCACTTAGGGCTCTACAGAGCAACTTGATGATCACAAATGAAGGCAAACATACGTGTCCCAGGATAACGTTGCAGGATCTAATCTGGGTCAGTCACTGGGACCAGATTGGATCCTGCAACTTAATGGTTTTTGTAAATTGTTAAAATACAATTTTCAGCCAAAGAGTGTCCCTGTCCCACAAAGAAAGTTCTCCTTAGAGATGTTTTTTCTTTCCTTTTTGGGGGAGAGGAAATAGAGTTTATTTAAAAACTGTATTAAAACTAAGTTAAGACATTATACAATTACTAGGAAGAAAAGTAATAAAAGATAGCAAATAATTTTTGATTCCACTTTTTCTGAAACTTGAATGTTACACAGGGTAAGGGGTAAATTAAAACTAAGAAACTGAGAAATCCCCTAAGATTATGCTGCCAAATTTTGGTAGAGCTAGGGATATCTGTAGGGATATGTAATTTTATGCAATGACTTGAAAGCATTTTCTTCTTACACTTTCGGAGGTGTAGGGGGGAACATGTTCTTTATAGATTGTTGTTTTTATAGTTCTTTAATTATAGTCCGTCCTTCCTTCCTTCCTTCCTTCCTTCCTTCCTTCCTTCCTTCCTTCCTCTGGGCAAGAACTTATACTACATTTGCGTTTATAAGGAGCTTCCTGTTTCAGACAAGGTGATTCTCTAATACAGTGGTTCTCAACCTTCCTAATTCTGCGACCCTTTAACACAGTTCCTCATGTTGTGGTGACCCCCAACAATAAAATTATTCCTAAAATCATTGAAAATATGTGTTTTCCGATGGTCTTAGGCGACCCCTGTGAAAGGGTCATTCGACCCCCAAAGGGGTCCCGACCCACAGGTTGAGAACCACTGATCTAATAGAAGAGCTCCTACGAAAAGAGTTTTGTGAAACCTGGAAGACTGCAGGATTGTTCATTGGGTTTTAATTTAGCAACAGAGTATTCCCTGAGAAATCATGACTTCCCCCAAACTTTTATCATATTGCTCTAGTCTAGGAAGTAAAAATGTGAGATTATGCTTAAAAATGCCTAAAATAGTGAGACAGAAATACAAATCATATCCATTGGAAAGTAGTATTTTATTCTTGAAAAGCGAAGAATCCTCCCCCCCACTTTCAAAACCTGCCCAAGCCACGTTTCCCAGCACCTGCGTATCAGAAGAGAACCCGCCCTCATTCACACTTGTTAAAGCCCCTTCTCTCATCGGGGTTTAAACTCAACCCTCCTATTTTAAGCCCCTTAACTGACTGAGCTGGGTCCCTAAACTAGGGGTAGCAAACAAGCGTCCGAAGGAGGCAACGCCTCTTCTCGGGGCGGAGAGGTTCCAAGCGGTGACGGATAGGGACCGGGAGCCGCTTTAATAAGTTGCCTCCTCCGCCGCCCGTCAAAGAGAGAAAAAGAGGCGGGCCGCTTCTGCCAGCTGGATGATCCGCGCGGTACCTGCGAGGCTCGGCAGCCGCGCTCGCAGAAGCGACTGACTCAAAGAGAGCTGCCCGGGCTGACGCGCGTGCCGTTAGGATTTGCCTTGAAAGCTCCCTCATCTTATGCGTGGCGGGGAGCGGGGGGGACACCATCTGCGGAGTTAGCCACGCTTTTTTCTTTTTCTTTTTTTGGCCCGGGGGAGAGGGAGAAAGAAAGAAAGGGAGGAGTTGTTGGATGATTAGGAGTTTGGGATTTGGGGATTTTGTTCCGTTTTGCTTTCTCCGGTCTTTTCCCGCTCGGTCAACGTCGAGAGTTTCCACCTGAGAACTTCACTCCTGTGAGGTGGAGTGGGGGAAAGGGGCTGCGCGGGCTGCTCTCCCTTGGTTTTGGCGCGGAAGAGGCGCAAAAAGCTGCTGGCGGCTACCGGACTCGGTGGGAAAAAAAAAAAAAGAGGAGAGCCTGGGAATCGGATCGCTGAATTTGCCCCGCGCAGGAATAGCGGGAGATGTAACCCGGGCGCGAGATCCAGAGGGTTTGCACCTGAGGTCGCAAGAAGGGGCCAGTAGGCGAAACCCCTTTGCGGCTGTGCCCCCCCCCCGGCCCCTGGATGGAAGCGGGGGATGGGGTCGTCGTTGAGAAGGAGGGAAGCTCCGAGCGCTTATCTCCCCCTCCCGTGAATTAGCACCGCTGTCACCCCCCCCCCCTCCGAAGGAAAGGACGGGGCAAGGCGAGGGTGGGTGGAAGCAGAAGGCAAAAGAGCTCCAGCTTCCGCGGCGAGACTTCGCTCTGAAGTTAACGCGAAGGGCGGAGAGCAGAAGCGGGGAAAGCGATGCCGTTGAGGCTGCGCTGGTTTTGGTGGTGGGCGGTGGTGTGTGGGAGCTATTGCTGCTGCGCCCTGCCTGGGCTGCCTCTCCTGCCCGCCGCGGGGGTGCTTCTCCTAGGCAGCAGGAGTGCCGCGGGCTTCGGCCCCGGGAGCAGTAAGGCTCAGCCTCAGGCGCCCGTCTCCACCTCTTCCACCCCGGCGGGCTTCCTCTACCGTCGCCTCAAGTCCCACGAGAAGCGGGAGATGCAGAAGGAAATCCTGTCAGTGCTGGGCTTGCCTCACCGGCCCCGGCCCTCGCACGGGCTTCAGCTGCCGCAGCCGGGAGAGCCCGAAGTTCCTCTCCCTCAGCAACGCCGACGGCAGCAGCAGTCAGCGCCCCCGCTGGGCAGGCTGAACTCCGCGCCCCTCTTCATGCTGGATCTCTACAACACGCTGTCCGGCGAGGAGGAGGAAGCGGCGGCGGCGGAGGAAGGAGAGCCCGAGCATCGCGGCGGTGGCGGCACTCGGCACATCTCCACTGCGCGACCCCTGCAGCGCAAAACTCTCCTGACCCACAACCTGGGCTCCTCGGGCAATCCTAGCCTGGCGACCTCGCAGGACAGCGCTTTTCTCAACGAGGCCGACATGATCATGAGCTTCGTCAACCTGGGTGAGTGAGGGGTGGGGTTGAAAAAGGGAGGGGTGGGTGGCGCCGATCAACCTGTGAGTGGATGCCCTGGGTGGTCCTTGTTTAAGGCAGACAATTGGGGGGGGGGAAATATCCAGATTTGAGCTATTAGGCAATACAGGTAGTCCTCGATTTATGTTTCTGCTCTTAAGTGTAACATTTGCTAAGTGAGTTTTGTCCCGTTGGACGACCTTTCTTGCCACGGTTGTTAAGTGACTCACTGCAGTGGATAAGTTAGTAACCTGGTTGTTAAGTGAATATGACTTTTCCCATTGACTTTTTTTTCTTTTTCTTTTTCTTTTTGATTTGATTTATATGCCGCCCTTCTCCGGAGACTCAGGGGTGGCTTACAATGCGTTAAGCAATAGCCTTCATACTTTTGTATATTTATACAAAGTCAGCTTATTGCCCCCACAATCTGGGTCCTCATTTTACCTACCTTAGAAAGGATGGAAGGCTGAGTCAACCTTGAGCCTGGTGAGATTTGAACTTGCAGTAATTGCAGGCAGCTGATGTTAATCACAATGCTTTAGTCGGCTGCGCTACCAGGACTTTCCTTGTCAGAAGATCTTAAAAGGGGAATCACACGGGACACAGCAACGGTTGTTAAGTATGAACCACTTGCCAAGCATCTGAATTTTCATCAAGTGACCATGGGGATGCTGCAACGGTCGTAAGTGTGAAAAATGGTCATGAGTAGTAACTTTGAATGGTCATGAATTGAACAGTTGTAAGTTGAGGTCTATTTGTACTGTTAAAACCTGTAGAAGTGTGTTGAGGAACTCCAAACTCTATTATTTATTGCAGTATATGTTCTTGTACTACAGGAGACTAATAGCTATCTGGCTGTAAACTTTTCTTTTATCTTTTCCTCCAATGACCACCCTCTTCCCCCTCCTTCCAGTTGCTATGCCAAAACTACTTGCAACGACCCCCTCCTCTCTAGCACATGCTAATGACCTCCAGTTCATAACACAGAATAAAGATCTAAATTATATAGTCAAACTGCATTCCTTAGTGTAACTGCATATTATGTTATGAAGTTGGCCTGGAACCAAGCAAACAGAAAGTTATGTATCTCGGCTTGATAGGGATCCTGCTGAATGAAGACACGTCTCTTATTTCAAAGATTACGCGATATCCATCATTTGGGCTAGTGCCTCACAAAATATTAATATACAGCAAGATCTACTAAGAACACCCAGCTTAAGGATGACCCATAGTTAAGCCTATTGTAGCAAAATTTGAGTTAAATACGTAATGATTCAAGTTAATGGTTCAAGTTTACTACACAATCCTACCTACAGTATACAGTATTATACAATAATACTGTTCTGGTTCATACACACTGTAGAAATTTGACGTGAAGATATTTCTGGTTCACATAAAAAATTAGGACAAGGCGAAATCTTGCGAATGGACCTCATTCTTAAACTAACCTGTATTCAAGCTAAGCAGCCTCTAATTGCTCTCGATAGACTGTTATTATCAGCAATAGAAAGGGCCTTTAGTTCTTCTTTCTCTTTCATCTTTATTATAGGCTCATTTTTACATTTTGATATTCCAAAAAGCCCTTAAGACCTGTTTGTGTTCTCAAGCCTGCAGCTACCAAGCAACCGGAGGCTTGCTTTAGATGGCTCCACCAGTGAGATGATCATTTTTATCCTTCCTCATCTGGAGTTTGTATTTCAAGTTTTTAATCATATGCTTAAAATGGAATTTACATTTTTGTTTCTGTTTTATTTGATTATTGTTTGCTGACCAGAGTTGCCTTCAATGAAATGGTTGGCTATATCAGTTTGATTAATAGATACATTTGGCAAGATGGGTGGCTTATAAATTTAATAAATAATCATGAGAGATATATTCAGTATTTCTTAAACTTTGAAAATTCTTGTGTATGCATAGTATCCTAAATTCAGTTCCTAGTGCCTGTTAAACCAGCTAGCTATTGATTTTAAATGGTGGAGTGTAGTACTTATTGAAGGAGGTGATGAGAAATAACGATTTGTTTTGCTGTGTGTTGGCTTTATATGAAACCATATCTTTGGGATTAAAGTTGATTTTGTCATCCAGGGAAAATTGTCATACTTAATTTAGGGTTCCATTCTTACTGATTCTGAGTATCATTAAGTTATCTGCATAATTTTGTAGCCTTTACACATGCATTACCCTTTCGGTATTATGGATTGCTGACATTCCATGCTTCTGTGGTACTGACCATGGTACTGTTTCGGTGCTGCTTTGGGCAGGCTTAGAATAACCGGTTTAAGAATACTGGGGAGGGGGTTGGTTGTGAATGCTGTTTCCCTCCACAGATCTTCTGCTAGCTGTTTGGTTGTGCAAACAAAAACAAATGCAGGTACAATTCAAAGAAGGGATTGTTCTCTATCTATATAGTAATGTACTTTGCATATAACTAACTTGGAGAAAGTAGCCATTGTATACCGTGCGACTTACTTCTGAGTAAAAATGCAATAGGACTGCTTTATTATCCTGCAAAAGCAATGGGCACTATCTGTGTTTTTTCAGAGTGAAAAGTATTTGATACTACAGCACATCCTTGTGGTTAAGAATGCCCTGGTTTAAGGGCAACCCAGAGTTGAGATCGGAGCCTATCTTAACAAAATTCAAGTTAAATACAAAATGATTCAAATTAAACACACAATAATTCAAGGTTATTATACAATACAATTTATACAGTATTATATAATAATTCTGCTCTAGTTTACAAACAAATTTGACTAAGGACAACAGGAAACAGACCTCTTGGAAATAGACCTCCTTCTTAAACTGGGGATTACCTGGTCTTTTGAAGTAGTGTGAAATTATTGGTCTAACTTGTCTAATATTATTTATCCTATTGAAAGTTACTGTCCTAGGTTTCAAGTGAAATTTTTCTCAGATCTACTAATTGAAATGTGTACTACCATGGACTACATCTAAGATTTCTGAATGTAAAATACCACTAAATTATGATCTTGTGTTAGGCATCCTTTCTTCTCTGTCATACATCCTGCTACATTCCAGAATGCATTGTGCCTTACATTCTCTTTATTGTTAAAAAGTATTTAAAATGTCAGTGACTGCCCTGTGCAATTAAGGACTGGCTCACTCTCTGGGAAAACATAACTGGTCTTTCCTGATGCAGGAAAGTAACTTGGTAACTTCCTCCTCAGCTTTCCCGATGTGGATGAACTCTTGCAGTTGCTTTTTGGTATTAAAAATAGGAATTAAGCAAATTAGATATATGTTATGATGGACTCTGAAAAAGAGACTTATGTACCAGATTCTGATATCTGCCTCCACCAGTCATATAACAGCATTTTGGGTGTTCAATAGATAGATCAATATTTACAGCCGTTTAAATATCCTGTGATCATGGGGCCCTAATTTATATTTTTTCTGGAAACTAGTGTTTACTTTCAGTTTCCAGCAAAAAAAAAAAAAAAAAAAGCCATAGTGAACAATATGTTTGCTTAACCACTGCAGCATTTAACAACCACGGCATTTGCTTAATGACTGCTAGTTGTAAAATTGGATGTGGCCACGTGATGACCTGCTTTATGACCATCATGACTTGCAACCAACATTACAGGCTCAATTACAGTCGTAGATTGAGGACTACGTATATTTGAGCCAAAGGTGCTTTTTCAAGAGGCAACTGGACTTTCTGGTTTTTCTTTGAAGATATTTCGCTTCTTCAAAGAAAAACCAGAAAGTCCAGTTGCCTCTTGAAAAAGCACCTTTGGGACATCCATGACCTGGATGACTGAAAATTTCCATAGATACTTACCTGTATTTGAATGTATTTATTCTGCCACCTCCAAGTAATATTACAGTTATGTAAAATAATATAACATAAATAACATAAATAACAAAACCTAGAAGTGTAAATTATTTTTGAAGACAAATATTACAATAGATTCAACTGGTAAGCATTAGAGATTATTTAGTTGGAGAGAAATTTTGATGATGGTGAACATTGTTATAGAAGACCTGAACTACAATTTGAATATTTGTGTTCTTTGTATAAAGACGTTTGTCCAGACATCTCCAATAATAGACACTGAGCATGCTATCCCTATGTTTCTTGTATGTGCAGTGTAATGGAAACATTGGTACAATCCAGTATTTCTTAGTCAACATAAAGTAGTACAAAATAATCATAGAATCTGCATTTTGTGCACTCACGCTTAGGTTAATATGATGGCTATAATACTATCACATTTGCCTAACAATTCTATTTTTGTTGTTTTGATCATTTGGTTGTGCGTTATGATATAGATGCAGTGAATATTTACCTGGCTTGATCTGTATGTTCATTAAAGATTTCAGCACATAGAAAATGTGCTAAATCTGGGTGAAAGTACTTGCTAATTATGATTCTTAACTCAAAACTAACAACAATGAATGACCGCTAGAAAATCTAGAAAGACAAATGTAAAATCTACTAATGCAACCTGCTTAAAAAAATGTTGAATTAGAAAAAAAATAATGTAGCTGAAGAGTAATTTGTGCTGCTCGAGAAGAAGCAAAAGAACTAAAATTTATTTCAATGGTAATATCACTGATATTACATTTCAATAAAATTGATAGTTATTCAGGAAATAGTATCTTTAATGATTGATGAAATAATTTGTGAATATTCTCCATTCTTTCAAATACGATCCAATGTTATAATTGTAGCAATGAACAAAACACGTTTACCTGGCAGCCAAAGTAGCAGGAAAAGAAGGACTGTTGTGTTAAGACATGTTTAAAGAAGACTGTTAATTAGTTTCATTAACTTGTGTAGTGAATTTATTTTCAAAAAAGCCTAGGAACTGCTATGCATATAGCATTTTGCTGTGGGGAGGAATGGAATACCAATGCCAGGATTGCATTACATTCATGTCCTAGTGTTTTCCTTGTATTAAGCAAACTCTTTCTCAGTTAGCACTTCAGAATTCAATACGGAGATTTCATTTCTTAGTATATTT